ACATCAAAAACGTATTAAAATAGACACTGTACACGATGTTCTCAAGTCTTTTAATGCATTTGTAGACTCATCATCAGACGATGATGATAAGAGGCCGATGGATAAAGTAGATGATTATATTAAAGCGAAAATATCGTACCCAAAAGGTGAATCACTTTTACAACGGTGGCAAAAACACTCTATCATATACAAAAAGTGAGTTTTTTGATTACTATATCATTCTCCTTAAATGCACAAGAAAAATTCAATAAATTAATTTAAATTTGATTCTCGTTGGGTTATCATTATTGGCATGTTCTCTCTTAGCAGTACCTGCAGGTTCTGCTGTATCTGAAAGAATATTCAGTAAAACAGGTCGGATTCTTGAAGTTCGACTTCAACAAATATCACCAGAATCACTTGACTCTCTTATTTTTTTACGAAATTTTTCAGTTGTTTTGTATAAATTGAAGATGTATTATTGATATTTGTACGATACTTATTGTTATGATCATTATCGATCTTAACTGTTTGAAATGTATGTATTTGAATGGAAATGTGATCATACTAAGTTGTGATGGTTTTTTTTGCAATCATGATTATCTATGTGTTTTTTATTGCTATAAAGCTTCTATCATTTTTTATGCTTAATATTGCAATAAACTGATGTATCTTTATAAAATAAACGAATTTAAATCTCTCGGGTCGGGTCGGGCTCGGATTCAACTATCCTCGGGTCGGGTCGGGCTCGGGTCCAACTATCCTCGGGTCGGGTCGGGCTCGGGTTGAACCTTGTCGGGTCGGGTCGGGCTCGGATTGAGCCTTGTCGGGTCGGGTCGGGCACGGGTACGACTAAAAGACCTCGGGTCGGGTGCGGGTTCGAAAAATCAAACCCGCGCAGGACTCTATCATACACACACCATTATCTCGAATATCGGGGTAAAAAAGATTGAACTAAAGCTGTTTTTAAAATATTTTTATGCATTTATTTATTTTTCATTGTTGGTAGAAATAATTTTTCTTCTTGTTATTGTTTTTTTTTTGTATCAGACATAAAAGAAAAACGAGAAAGAGAAAAATCTTTCGCAAACACAAAAAATTTCTAATCACAACTAATCTTAAACGAATAAAAAACAATTGCATAAGAGATTAAGTATCAAAACAAAGAGACTAGATGAAATAAGAGAAGGAAAACAAACGAAATATTCATCTTGAAAAAAACCGATAAGAAAATTTTCCAAGAATAAAAATCTTTTTGTTTTCTTCGTCTTTCCCAATGAGTCTCTAGAAACAAACAGATGATGTTACTGAACTGTTGATATTGTTTTTGTAAATGTAGTTGTATAAATATGTTGTTTCGTTGTGATATGCATTTGCGAAAGTACCCCGTTTCCTATTTCTTGTTTCCTTTAGTAGCAACTTGAACAGTCGCTGCTTTAGCCCCTTTGCTTGATATTGGTGCTTTCTTTTCTACATCTTTGATAACACCGACAGCTACAGTTTGTCGCATATCCCGTACAGCAAAGCGACCCAATGGTGGATAATCAGAAAATTTTTCAACACATATTGGTTTTGTTGGAATCATTTTAACCATAGCAGAGTCACCTGATTTAATAAATGTAGGAGCTTCTTCAATGACTTTACCTGTTCGACGATCAACTTTTGAAATTAATTCAGCAAATTTACATGCAATATGAGTCGTATGACAATCAAGTACAGGTGCATAACCTTGACCAATATGACCAGGATGATTAAGTACAATAACCTATATAAAAGAAAAACAAGGTCATAGATCTTAGAAAATAAGAGAGAAAAATAAATTTACTTGAGCAATAAAACTAGAAGTTTCTTGTGCTGGATCATTTTTTGAATCTGAACAAACAAATCCACGTCGAAGATCTTTTACACTAACACCTCGAACATTAAAACCAACGTTATCACCAGGTAAAGCTTCTACAAATAAAATAAAACTATTTTACTATTGAAAAATAAGAAAAAGAAAAACCTATTTACCAGTAAGATCAGCATGGTGCATTTCGATCGATCTAACTTCTGCTGTTACATTCGCTGGAGCAAAATTGACTATCATATTAGTTTTAAGTATACCAGTTTCAACTCGACCGACGGGTACTGTACCAATACCATCAATTTTGTAGACATCCTGTAAAGGCAGACGAAGTGGTTTTTCTGTTGGTCGTTGTGGAGGTACAATAGCATCAAGTGCTTCCAACAAAGTTTTGCCTGTAGCATTGCCTCCTTTACGTTCAACTGACCATCCTTTATACCATGGCATATTTTCTGATGGTTCAATCATATTATCACCTTGCCATCCTGAGATTGGAACAAAAGGAACACTTTCTGGTTGATAACCAATTTTTTTGATATATGTTGATACTTCGCTTTTAATTTCATTAAATCGTGTTTCTGAAAATGGTGGTTCTGTAACATCCATTTTATTAACAACGACAATCATTTGTTTGACACCTAATGTATACGCAAGTAAAGCATGTTCACGTGTTTGACCATTTTTTGAAATACCGGCTTCGAATTCACCTGAACCAGCCGCAACAACTAATACAGCACAATCAGCCTCAAAAATAAAAACAAATATACATACCAAAAATAGCATAGAAAATAAAGAAATAAATTTCATACCTGTGATGTACCTGTAATCATATTCTTAATAAAATCTCGATGACCAGGTGCATCAATAATAGTAACATGATATGCATTGGTTTCAAATTTCCAAAGTGAAATATCAATGGTAATACCACGTTCTCGAGAAGCTTTTAATTTATCCATAACCCAAGCATATTTAAATGAACCTTTGCCTATCTATTAAACATATAAATATATAAATCTTATCAATATAGAAAAAAAAAATATTCTATACTTCAGCAGCTTCTTTTTCGAATTTTTCGATCATGCGTTTTTCGATACCACCACATTTGTAAATCAAATGACCAGCTGAAGTTGATTTACCCGAATCCACATGACCAATAATAACAATATTAATATGTGTTTTTTCTTTACCCATAATAATAAATCAAAATGAAAGTATTCTGATATTTAGATCAATATTATTTGAAATTATGAATAAATAACAAAAAAAAATATTGTATAATTTATACTGACATGAATTAAATGACGTATAATATGACATAGAATTACGAAAGATTACGTGAGATGATGATGATGAATTGCGAAATTTCACTTAAATCAATAAGAAAACTTAACAATCATTGCATCATCCAAAAATTTTACCTTATTACTTTATATCTAGGTCAAAAAATAAATAAATTTATTACATTTTAATATTTTAATGTAAAAACTAATATGCTTGACCTGACGAACTTATTTTCAAAAATTGCGTAAGAAATAAATAGAACAAATATTCAATTTAATTACACACATGTTTTGTATCATGCTATTTGACGTTGTTTTTTATAGAACGAATAAAAAAATAAATTCAAAGTTGATATATACTTAGATTTTGAAGTTATTCACAATTTTTTAATCATGTTGAATATGATTTCAGATGTATAATCAAATGAATTCATGGTTAATCTGATTGTTAATAAATTTCTTTCGAACATTTAACAAAGTTTTCCTTGGAATCAAAAAAATTAAGTTCGTATTATTATACTCATTCGAAACAAATCGAAATGCATGTCAAACAACTTGATTTAATTAACTGAAATTGAATTTTATCAATAATAAATATCCATAAATTTTCTATTCAACGATCGAACTAGTTAAATTAATAAAACAATTAAAAACGAACTTGAATTTTCATTAAGCAGACTTAAATAAACCAATAGAGTATTACACATCAGTCGTTACATGTTAAAGTTTTGCATTGATCAATGTATAAATCATCAGTTATTTCGTTAGTATTATCTGCATTTACATATCTATTGATCAAATCTCGAACTATGACAAAAAAAAGTTATATATATTATATTTATATAGATTTAGTACAGGATGCCTGTTGAAATTAAATCTAAATATTTTCAATATTCATTAAATCCAAGTCATTATAGTACTTTTGTCATATAGAACTAAATTCTGGCCAACGAAGTTAATCTATTCTAAGATGATGAGAAATTTTGTAATGTTAACAATCGAATATCTTCAACATGCATGATGCAAAAGTGTCGCTTCTATTTTGCAAACCAATAAAATTACAGCGATAATATAATTCATTATCAATTGTAGATATTTTTGATACATCAAAATACTTGATGAATACTCAAGAATTAAAGTTTCTGCTGTTTTTGTTTTCTCGTACGTCATAGATCTTATGAATTTAATATAAACAATTGTTTAGAATAAAGAACAATTTTTTGACATATTATCTTATGGATTTGATTGTCGTGTTATTCTTGTGTTTTTTTTGCCTCTGTGAAGTAAAAAGTCTAATTGAGTTTCGTAATAAAAATATTTTTCCTATTATACACTTTTCTAGTATATTGAGTTGATCTGATTATAAATTTTGATTAGCATAGTAAAAAACAAGTTTTAAAAAATGATGTTAAATATGAGAACATTGGAAAATATAATAGATTTTCGAACTAATTTTATTTTATTTATCCATATGATCTATTGAAGATATTTATAGATTTCAGGTGTCTTTTATGCAATAGTTCACAATTAAAAATTCATCAATTTATTTGTAAACATTTCAATAAAACTATAAAGAAGAAAATTGGCATTTCCATATCATATTTCAACAAATATGTTAAACTCAAAAGATATTTGAATATTTGTGAAAAATACTTTCTTTATTCAATCATATCTTTATTTTTATAAATAACATTTTAGTCATAAAATATAATCTGTAGTTGTCATAGAGCCAATATTTCGTCTCATCTATGAACAAAAGGTAATAAAACAATGATACAGACATTTTATTACTAATATTCATACTTAAGTGAATATCTATAAATTATTCAAAAAGTATTTTGAATATTTTTATTCTTTGTTATTCATTCTTATATGAACAATTAAATGATAATATTTTACATAATATTACAAATAGATGATATTGGGATTTGTGATGATTCGTTTATATTTAATGGAATATATTTTTTCAATTGTTCGAGAAACTGAAGATAAGTAGCAAGTGTTAAAGGTGGAACAGTTCCATCGGCTATAATTTCATGTCTCATTGCTTGAAACATACTTTCTCGATTTATTTGACACATTGAATAGGCTTGATGTAGCAAATGACCATTAAAATTAGGAAAGATAGGTAGAAGTGATATAAAATTATTGTCAATCAGAAATGAACGAACATGATCTATAGACCATAAATCAATACAATGTGGAAGATTTCTTTAATAAAAAAAAACAAACAAAACAAAATTAATAATTAAATAGATATTAATTAAAATTTTCATAACTTACATAACTAATTGATGTTGATCAACTACTAATGATGATTGTGGTACTAATAACTTATGAGATGTTGGTTTTGTTATAGAATGAACAGTAGTAGTATTTTGTGTCTTTTCAATTTCAGTTTTAAGCATTGAATAAGCCGAATCAAATTCAAATTTAGAAAAATCAATATAAATTTTACCACTAACAATAATACCTAACCATCCATCAGGTTTATATTTTGCTTTCATAATAATTGGTATTAATTTACATCGTCGTTCAAATGCATAATGAGCTTCAGCTTGACAAAATGGACTTTGTTTATATGCTTCTGACATACAAATAAATACAAATTCTGAATTTTCAATAGCATTAGCCATAGCTGTCATTGTATCACCATGTATTTGATCTCGATCAAGCCAAACATGATATCCATCTTTAACAAGATTTTCATAAATTTGAAAACAAATTTTTTTATCACTATGTGAATAACTTAACATGATATCAAATTTTGAATTTGAACAAGAAGAATTTAATGTATTTACAGTATGTATAGATATTTTTTGATCGAATTGCCAAAGTAAATGATTAGCTACACGTTGTAAATTTTCTTCTGTTGAATTTTCTAATATTTTAAGATAATTCATAAATTTTATATCTTGTTCAAGAATATTTAATGTATCTTTATTAAAAGAAAGTGCAAGTAAAATTTCTAATGCATATTGTTGAATTTTTGTTTTATGAAAATTTTCTTCAATAATACATCGAATAAGTAAAGGAATTATTCCTTGATTAATTAATTCTATTTTAATCTGTTCATGTTGTACAAGACCTAAATATAGTTAAAAAAAATAATAATCTCAAAAAAAAAAAAAAAAACTTACTCTTTAGAGAATGAAGTAGACTATGAAAAGCTGTTTTCTGTATTGGATCATCAATCATACTAATAAAATATAAATAAAATACTGCAACTATTTTATTACTATTAGCAAGTCTTTTAATATCTTCTTCATTCATAATTATTGATAAAATACGATATGTATTAAACGATATTTCGGAATCATCTGATTCAGTCATTTTTAATAAGAGAGATTTTAAAAATAAGTTATTTTTCATATAAACTATCATATCAATATTATACGTAAGATGACATAAAGTTGATAGAAGTGTTCGTTTTATCATTGTAGTTCCTTGTTGATCAAGCATTGATATACAATAATCAATAAGATGATAATAATTATTATCAATAATATTTTCATCTGTTGTATTATCCATTACCATAATATTTAATGAAAGTAAACAGGCAACACCTATTACTGGTTCTGACAATAATGAAGATGACATTAACTTAATAATTATTTGTAACAATGTTTCACATATGATTAAAAGATGTTTTCGTTGTAATGTATTATTTTCATAAGATTGCCAATACATATATTCAATACATCGATCAAATAGAAGTGTTTCAATTGGATTTAATTCTAACATATTTTTTGGTAAATTTTCAAGTTTTTTAATAAAAAAATTTGAAATAATACATTTTGCAATAGTTAGAAATAAAAGTTCTAAAATTGAATTTTCATGTAAATCAAAACGAATCATTTGAATTCTTTGAAATATTTCAAGAAGACGATTTAGTATTTCAATAAGTTTTGTTTCATTAGAATATTTTTCAATTTCGTTAAAAAATAAACAAATTTCATCGATAAGAGGTTTGTAAATAAACAATTGAACAATATCATCAGTTAAAATATAACTATAACAAATATTATAAAAAAGTATTGATAATTTATTAATCATTTCATTTTTTTCTTGATTAAATAAGAATTTGATTAAATAATCACGAAGAATTATCAAAAGTTTATGTTGATTCAATTGAGATTGTTTATAAAGTTTATTTTTATCAATCGAAATGAGTGTAGTTACAATTTTAGTAATTATATTATAATTTGTTATCATTGATGAATATTTTATTAATTCATCAGTAACAATATTAAAAAATTGATTTAGTTGATTATCATTTTCAGTTGAGTTATCTGATTGATCGAGTAACAAATTACATTGTTGATCTATTATTGTCGTATTCATTATTAAATATAAAATAAGATTTTTGTTAGTTTGTTATAACTGTTTATGGTAACAACATTGTTTTAACACAGACGAGAATGGTTTGAAGTCAATGAAAGAAAAAGAATAGGAAAAAAAAATTACACACTTTTTTTTCTTTTACAAAGAGTTTGTAAAAAAAAAATGTTTTTTTTTTTGTCAAAGTTTTCGGTCCACGTGTATATAAAAATATATTTGACCTTCAATAGAGAAATTTAAAAACTGAACAGAACGTAGAAAATGATTCTACCTTTTCTCATCATCAAATAATCAGTAATTTACGGAAAAAAAACCTGATTTAGTTTCTAATTGCGTGAATAAAAAACTTTGAGAGTCGATTATTTTCTTTTATTAATCTTTGCTAGTGAATGTAATATTCCAAAATGTTTATATAATAGTAGAAAAGGCTGGAGAAAGAAGAAAAATGAGAAAATGAAGATACTTAAGTCAGAAACACCATCATTAATGCAAAGTGTTTTACAATTTGTTACTAATGTAGATATAACGAGTGTTAACTCACGTTTGTAAGAATATCAAGGGAATAAATAAAACCATAATACCACTGTCTTCAAGAAAGAAAGAAAAAAATATTAAATAAATTGCAGGTATGTTTCCTTTTTTTTTTTCTATAAATTTTTTTCAACAAAAAAGTTATCACTTTATGTTTAATAAAATACGATTCATGTTAACCTATCAATTGACGTACATGAGACTGCAATGAACTGCAAGAGTAGCTCAATCACTATCGGCAATAATGATATTTACAGAGCTACTTCATTACTTCAGTCGTATCTATATCTGCACAAACGTACACCTATATGCTAGTTACCTAAGAGACACGAAATAGAAGCATACATCTTCAAGGTTAACACTCTCAAGAAGAAGTCATATTGAGAACAAGAAAGAAGGGAAGTGAAATGTAACAATCACTAAATGCTACAGACACCATCGAAAAAAATCTGACAAGATTTCTCATTTTTCTTTTATGGAATTAATGCCAAACAAAGATATCATTATAGAAAGGTGACACTCCAAGATCAGAGATATTCTTGATTTTTAATCTTCTTTGCCTATAGTTTTTAATATAGAACTCTAAGGTTTACTCACCAGTAGCAGCATATAGGTTGTGTACAGAGAAAAAATGACAATGGCACAAAAGCTAAAGGACGGCACGAAATTTTTGTAGCTACATGTGTTACTAAGTCTCCACAAGGAGGAGAAAAATCAAGAAAAATGCGCAAATAAACATTGACGAGCTATTTTGAAGCACGAACCAAATTTTAACTACTCCAGTTTTTCTCAGGATCTTTTAATATTTCCTATACACTTTTCAGCTATGGATTTCAAGGATAGTCTTTCAGTCCATGTAAAATACCTTCTTTCTCTAGGTATTGAGTCATTCGAGTCATATTCTTCATGATAGGTGCTGTTTATAAATATACTATGACTATCTAGGAATAGATGACTTGATTGAATACTCAGACAGTCTATTAGATCACAATCGAATACAATAAACATATACAAGCTGAGACTATTACTCTCTGAAAGTCTTATACTTATATCAATTTTTTTTAATATTTTTTCTTTTAATACGACATATGGTGTTCAATTTTATAAACAGTTTGTTGAAGAGAAAATATAATATCAAAATAGTTACAAATGGATATTCAAATCGGCGATCGATTTTAAATATTTTTCAAAACTTATCTAAAAACAATCAAGTGTAACACGAGTTATTAAACCAAATCTATCATTTTAATCTACGAGTTCAGAAAGAATCTTACGAACTTTTATTACCATTATATAGAAGTGTATTATTATAATTAGAGCACCATTTTTGGAGAGTTCCTCTCGGTACATTGAACTTTTCTCCACTTAAAAAGTAAGAATTAAAAAAAGGCTCTGTCATACTGTGCATTCTGACATACTCTTTCAAACAAACAAAAAATTAAGTATATAAAAGGAAAGTTCACAGAGAATTTCGGATTGCCAAATAAGTTACTTTTAATTATTATTTGTTAAATATCTTCCGAAAACAAGATGATATAGTACTGAAAATCTTAGAGCATATTCTTTTCATTATAGTCTCAACATATATTGAAAACTTCATGCAATTTTTGCAAAGTCAGAAGACTTTGATAAAAAATTTTGTTCAGCTATTTTGCAAAACTATATGATCATATTCATCAATCAAAAATAAGTTTGAATTAATTTATTTTTCTGAAAATTTTGATAATTATATTATTGAGTGTTTAGGTTTTGCAATAGAAGTAATATAATCAATATATGTTTGAGGAAAGTTATATTGTTTAGCAGCATCAACAATGATTTGAAGATATTCATTCGATGGAACAAAATCTTCGTCACATGTTGTTTCATCTATAAATGTTATTGCTTCAATAATTTTATTATTATTGATAAGTTCAATATTGATTTTAATCATTCGATGACCAGGTTCAGTTTTTAATAAATAATCAAGATGTTTTTCATTTATAAGATAAACAATTCCATATACATAAGAATCTTTTTTTGGTACAATATTTGCTCTTCCTTTTCCATTTTCTTGTTTATGATTAAAACGAAATTGATAATCAATTAATCGAGCAATATTTACACTAAGTGGATGATCATTACCGATTCTTTCTTCAAACAAACTTTGTTTTAAATTACTTGCATAACCAAAATAATTTATATTATTCATTTTTATTATCTAGAAAATAAATAAATTTGGCTTTTTTTTTCTTCTGTAACATATTTAAGCTATTTAATAAAGTAATAGAATATATGATTATTCATAAGTTTAGTCTATAGAAACAAATCGTTGCTGTGGCTTAGTGACTACATTGTAACATATACTTGCTTTTGTGGCTAATATGTGGTTAATTAGTGGTATATATGGGGTGTTCAAGCAATTTAGTGCAAGAACTCTATGTCAGGTTGACCTTCCGTTCAGAATTACAGTTAGTTATAGTTATAGGGAATATCTCGAGCAATTGAATTTGTACTTAGAAAGTACTCTATAGCTTAAAACTAGCTGGCAGGCAGACATAGTCTTCCTATACCAAGAGTTTAAGACAATAAAAAAGTAGATTCATTACTATTTTACTTGTTTTGTTTCTTATATTCAAACGATTTCTATTGATTGTTTAATAATTACGTATTCAATAGAAATATGAAAATAATATTTTGTTGACGAGTGGAGTTATTTGTTAAAAAGTCAGAAATGAATAAATTTTTGTAGTTACTTTTCTTTTTTGTTCTTATCTATTTTTTCATTTAGTAGACTTTAGTTTGTGACAAAAGAGAAAAACATTTATTGATAAGATAAATAGATGAGTAAAAAACAAAAATATCTTCTTAAGTTCAATTCTGATTTATTTAAAAGAAAAGTCTTTGACCACGACCTTATCATTGCTTCTTCATCCGTTTATCGAAAAAATTTCATTTAATTTGAATGAAAGTTCATTTTTCTTTTCTAATAAATTTAATTAGTTATCGTTACAAAATATATTTCGGCTTATAATGATTTATATTTTTTGACTTGATTTCATTTTGAAAGACGAAAAAAAAATGCACATTAAAAAAATTATGATTAGTCAAAGAGAATTTGAACAACAGATAAATCATCAAATATTTATGAACATTTTAGTTCTTATAAAAATGATTAGTCAATCATTGATATTCCATACTAGAAATCGACAAGTCCAGTGCTAGCTCGTATGCATTGAACACGTTCTCGGATCTGCTTGAACAAGTTTTGTTCTATTTTTAAGAAAGACACTTTCAACTGCAAAAGATCTCATGTTCTATTTCTAAAAAGTCATTCTGAAAATAGAACACATTTTTTTGAACACTTCAGTTACAGGCACTGAACAGTTAGAACAGTCCTTGTGACAATATCTGATATGTTCGAAGTATTCTTTCGTGAATTTGATCTGAATTTTGGTCTTAAAACTAGTCGATCTTTATTCAATGTGTTCCCTATACTCTGAGACGTTCGGTTGAATTTTAGTAATAACATAGACATATTTTTACGTAAAATGACATCTCTTCTAAATAATAAATTTTTCGTTTGAGTAAGAAGATGATTGCTATTCATTAATTCTTAATTAATATTTATTTTCTTTTCGAAGTTAAAAGACAAATCAAATGAGCAAAAAATAAAAGCATAAGATCCTTTTTCTTTTTCATTATACATAAAATAAACTACAGAAAGTATTTTGTTAATACGCTTTTATTTTGTTATAAATGTACCATAATAATAAGTTTGAATAAATTCTAACAAAATTTGAATATTTTTGCTATTTATTTTCTATTTTACAAGAATGGATTGATAGAGAATGCTTCTAAAATGCATCGAATAAAGAATAAAAAACATTTCAGATTGAATGTTTTTCAAAATGTTTATTTAATCCTCATTGATTGAGCAAAAACTCAGAGTTCACATTTTTCGAATCTTTCAAAAAGTACAATTCAAGAAATTATGGAAACTATACTATAGTCTTTCTACTAGCAAATAATGCAATAAATTTGTTCTAAAATTTTCAGATACGATAGAAACCTCTGTTTTTTTGCGCGTTATGATATCATTATTGTCTCTGCTGATTTTGCGGGATAGTGTAAACATAGATAAGAATTTAGAAGATTGAATTATTTGAATTTAAACGTTATTTTCATGATAATTAAAACGATAAAAACTTTGAACTTACTTTTTGCCATTCTCAAAAAACAAAAATTGGTCAGATTTCATTTAGATACGATTAAAATTTTTTTCGAAACGTTGAAAACAACAGTAAAAAACTGTTTAAAATCAATATATACGAAACTCTTTTTGATAGTGAATTCGAACGATCGAATTAAATTGTATAAGAATGATACTTTAACAAATGTGCTGTAACACAAAAACTAATTTTATTTTTACGAAGGATTTGAAACTTGTTTTAAATTTTGTTTCTGATTTTCGTTGAATAAAAAATTGAAGT